AGAGTATGTAAAATAAAACTCATTCGCAGTATTAAAAAATCGTAAATCTTTCCAAAAAAAATTTTGAATTACAAATTTTAAAACTTAAAACAACATAGGGTTGTTAAAAATATCAAAAATTAGCGTTTTGAAGACACCATGGTGTCTTATAATTTTCCCTTCCTTATTGGCGTGTAGAAATAAATGCGCCAATAGATTGAATAAGAAGAATTGTTTTTCTCTTAATGAACTTTAATCCTTTTGATATAAGAATATTAAAAACATTAATATAATTTCGATTTCGGAAATTAAATTTCCAAATTTTTTGTCGATTTCGGAAATAACAGGATCCCGCATCCAACACGCAACAACAAAACACAAAACACACTTTTTGGTTCTTTCATCGTTTTAATCGTAATTTATGTAATACATGATTTGGATAAATTTTACAAAAATAGAACCTATATTATATTCTTTTCAAAGATTCTTGCAAATCATCAAAAATAATTGTATTTTAATAAACGATCAAATTATCCTTTCATTATTTTAAACTTAAATTAGTTTTTATGATTGACTAAAGCAATCATATTTATTCATCATTAAATAAACAAAAAATAATATTTGAGAGTTATTTCAAAAAAAAACACATTGAATTTATTAATTTGTCTCAATTTCAGTATTATAAATTTTTATAATTTCAATATTTTGAAATACACTTTTTAATATTTCAATATTTATGATATTTCAATGTATTAAGTAGTCTCAAATTGAGCTTCTCAAATATAAGTTGGCCTATTCAAATAATAAAATTAAATAATATTTAAAATAATAAATAAAAGTGATTGAGGTCATAGGAAAACGGCTGTTTCAGTCATTAATTCTTAAAAATAAAAAGGGTAAAAACTAAATGCAATGGGTAAAATTCAATAGTGTCTGTGCTATCGTTCAATTTGAAGGTGTCTTTTGAAACCGCAAGACACATTGAATTTTTGAATAGTGTATTATGGTTTGACAGACACCAATGAAAAAAATAAAATGATATTTATTTTAAATATATAAGATCCTTATATAAAATATAAATATTTTATCGTTTTATTTTCTTGTTTTAGAAATGTTTTTTATTGAAAAATCAATAAAACTAACTCCAAAATAAAATTTTTGATTTAAAGACAGTATGATGACACCAGGCAAATCTTCCAAGTAGGGTTGTTAGATTCCCGACGATAGGTGTCTTGGAAGATTTGCCTGGTGTCATCATAGTGTCTTTAAATCAAAAATTTTAGTTTGGAGTTAGTTTTAATGATTTTTCAATAAAAAACATTTCTAAAACAAGAAAATAAAACAAGAAAATAAAACGATAAAATATTTATATTTTATATAATGATCTTATATATTTAAAATAAATATCATTTTATTTTTTTCATTGGTGTCTGTCAAACCATAATACACTATTCAAAAATTCAATGTGTCTTGCGGTTTCAAAAGACACCTTCAAATTGAACGATAGCACAGACACTATTGAATTTTACCCATTGCATTTAGTTTTTACCCTTTTTATTTTTAAGAATTAATGACTGAAACAGCCGTTTTGCTATGACCTCAATCACTTTTATTTATTATTTTAAATATTATTTAATTTTATTATTTGAATAGGCCAACTTATATTTGAGAAGCTCAATTTGAGACCACTTAATACATTGAAATATCATAAATATTGAAATATTAAAAAGTGTATTTCAAAATATTGAAATTATAAAAATTTATAATACTGAAATTGAGACAAATTAATAAATTCAATGTGTTTTTTTTTGAAATAACTCTCAAATATTATTTTTTTGTTTATTTAATGATGAATAAATATGATTGCTTTAGTCAATCATAAAAACTAATTTAAGTTTAAAATAATGAAAGGATAATTTGATCGTTTATTAAAATACAATTATTTTTGATGATTTGCAAGAATCTTTGAAAAGAATATAATATAGGTTCTATTTTTGTAAAATTTATCCAAATCATGTATTACATAAAATACGATTAAAACGATGAAAGAACCAAAAAGTGTGTTTTGTGTTTTGTTGTTGCGTGTTGGATGCGGGATCCTGTTATTTCCGAAATCGACAAAAAATTTGGAAATTTAATTTCCGAAATCGAAATTATATTAATGTTTTTAATATTCTTATATCAAAAGGATTAAAGTTCATTAAGAGAAAAACAATTCTTCTTATTCAATCTATTGGCGCATTTATTTCTACACGCCAATAAGGAAGGGAAAATTATAAGACACCATGGTGTCTTCAAAACGCTAATTTTTGATATTTTTAACAACCCTATTCCAAGTATAGATACAAGGTGATGTGAATTTTGCATCCCTGGGATGGACGATACACCCAAAGTGTCACCTTTTTGGGATAACAAAAATTTATATATATGAGAGTTCTGCAAATCATATGCACAATATCTATTCTGCCTGACTTCTTGTATATAGGAGTCAGGCTGAATAGATATTGTGCATGTGGCAATATAAGTATTTCCGAGATTGCCATCGTGCGCTATAGTACACTACTTCTCCTTGGTCCTAGCTCGGTTCCAAGGATATCTGTGTTCAAGGATTTGGCAAGGTCCTTCTGAAGTCTCTCATTCGATGAGAGATTTCGAAAGAACCTTGCCTTAGAGTATTCCAACTCTTGTTCTCTTGTCCCTGAATAGTCAGAAAAGCTATTTGACTACTTAAGGCAGAGATTATCCGAGGTCCCTCATTTGATGAGAGGCCTCGGATAATCTCTGCCTTAAAGTTGTACACTTGTAGTCCATCAGAATGTAAGTATACACGGATAGGACAGCTTTCTTCTGAAGTCTTAGATTTGATGAGAAGCCTCAGAAGAAAACTGTCCTATTTTATAATAGGAGGAGTTTCAGAAGCTCCAGAGCTCCCTTTCGTAAGGAATAGGAGCTTTGGAGCTCCTGGTTCGTAGATGGGCTTCGCATCTTTCATCAAAAGAGGCCCAAATGGTAAATATCCTCTGCTGATGAGCTTCAGGAGCTCCAAGGCTCCCTCTCGTAACGATTAGGAGCTTTGTAGCTCCTGAAGGTAAGGTAGGATTGCTCTGATCTCTAATCAGTAGATGCCATGCCTTATTATGGACTCTACTGACAAGAGATCAAGAGCTCCAAGGACTCCCTTTTTAGCTAGTGGCATTCTCACCATTTAGTAGGATCGCTGATCCTACTAATGAAGTGATCACTTAATATACGTTTTGAATAAATTGAATTTTTTTACAAAAATTTAGTATTTTTTATAAACATCACATATATATTATAAATACGTAAATATATTCTTTAATTCAAAAAATTCAATTCGGTTTCGGGCTGGGTATCCCAGCCCCAAGTATTCAATTTTATTCATTTTTTTAGAATTTTGGGTTGGGGTGCCCAGACCAAAACAAACTTTATATTTTGATGTGTAGATGCGTATGTGTACATCATTATTGCGTTATATATTATATTTTTAATGAAAAAAATCTGATTCAAAAAAATTATCACTAATTAGTTGATAATATAAAGAAAAAATATATAAATTGTATGTTTTGAGAGTATTTATCCACATTCACTCATATGAATTTCATTAAATAGTGTCTTTTTACTCCAAAATTTATTTTGAATTATTGAAATCAAAGAAAAAAAAACTAGAAAAATTTCTCGAAATTTTTATTTTTAAAAAAATTTTGGATTTTATATTAAAAACTGACACTGGGAGGATGATAGGGCTGGGATTAGAGATACCCCGCTCACTTGGGAAAAATACGGATCTATACTTCCAAGACACCTATCGTCGGGAATCTAACAACCCTAAAACAACATTTTTTGAAGCGAAAAAACGAAATCTAATTTTTTTGGAAAATTTAGAATAAATAGAGCTCTTTAACTCGTCGAATACAAATTGTTTTCAAGTTTTTTTCGACCGGAAATTGAACTTTTAGAGTTTATACAATAAGATTCACATGAAAAAATACGGGTTTAACAAAGAAATCACCAATATAAAGGTTTTTTAGTAGAACGAGATTGATAAAAACTATGGTATGATAAAAAGACGATAATTTTTTTGGCGGGATAATTGAAGAATATGAATGATTCGAATTACAGACATACTCTAGTCCGAAACTTACTATGGTTCGTGACTTATTTTTGACACAGAATAGCTGTAGACTAAGGCTTACTCTAGATCCAGACTTATTATACAATTAAATTTGCTTTTGGAATAAGACTTAATTTTAGTTACAAACTTATCTTATATCAGACTTATATTTAGAATCAGACTTACTTTAGTCTATAACTTACATTTAGAATCAGACTTCCATTTCAAGCCATACTTACTTTCGTCCGAGACTTACATTTCAAGTCAGACTTACTTTCGTCCGAGACTTACATTTCAAGTCAGACTTACTTTCGTCCGAGACTTACATTTCAAGTCAGACTTACTTTCGTCCGAGACTTACATTTCAAGTCAGACTTACTTTCGTCCGAGACTTACATTTCAAGTCAGACTTACTTTCGTCCGAGACTTACATTTCAAGTCAGACTTACTTTCGTCCGAGACTTACATTTCAAGTCAGACTTACTTTCGTCCGAGACTTACATTTCAAGTCAGACTTACTTTCGTCCGAGACTTACATTTCAAGTCAGACTTACTTTCGTCCGAGACTTACATTTCAAGTCAGACTTACTTTCGTCCGAGACTTACATTTCAAGTCAGACTTACTTTCGTCCGAGACTTACATTTCAAGTCAGACTTACTTTCGTCCGAGACTTACATTTCAAGTCAGACTTACTTTCGTCCGAGACTTACATTTCAAGTCAGACTTACTTTCGTCCGAGACTTACATTTCAAGTCAGACTTACTTTCGTCCGAGACTTACATTTCAAGTCAGACTTACTTTCGTCCGAGACTTACATTTCAAGTCAGACTTACTTTCGTCCGAGACTTACATTTCAAGTCAGACTTACTTTCGTCCGAGACTTACATTTCAAGTCAGACTTACTTTCGTCCGAGACTTACATTTCAAGTTACTTGATTTACAGCTACTTATGTTAAGACCTGTGTAATTTCCGGATGAGTCTCGTGATCTAAAAGCATTGACACCATAATAATCTGGGGCACATGATTGAATTGTTGTCGATAAAATTTTATTGCTAGTTGAACGAAAGTTTGCAAAATTAGCGCCATCAAGATAGTAATAAGAAGGATTTAGTTTGTTATAGCATGTATCAGCAGAGCATTTGTTTATAACACATTGACTGTTTGAGGATTCAAACCAAATTGCACCTGCCTTTGTATCTTTCCAGTTTACCTGACCAAAAATTGCAGGTATACTAGTAACGATATCTGAAAATGAACAAGTCTCTACTAAAATTTTAACGTTAGATTTGTCTTCAATGTTAATTGCGTTTTTTGTCAGGTGCTTAACTATTAAATTCTTTAGATAATATGATGCATCTGATGTGTATGAATAATCATTGAATTCTGCTTGATTTATTTTAGTCTTCTGCTCATTTTGATAAAATTCAAACCACGATTTATGTGTTATAGATGGACTTCGAACAAGAAATGCCTTGACCCAAGGTATTGTCAACAATATGCATGAGAACAGATTCATAATACTAAAAATAAATAAACAAAATCATTGCTGAGAGTAATTTTTTTCAATGAATTAAATTTTTATGATTTTATTCGAAAGTTTTAGCATACAATAAAAGACTTATTTTCTTGAATTACCACGATGACATTTTATTTCAATCTATTTTGTAAATTATTGAAAATATTTTTCTATCTCAATTTTTCTGAATATTAGCCGATTCGTTCAAATCAATAAATATTTATACTGAAATACATGATACAATTATTTCCTATATACAATAGATTTAAGAGTATTTTTATCATAAAAATCTTACTCTTAATCAAGCAAGATCTCTTTTCTTAGTAAAAGAGAATTTTCTAAGGTGATTCTAAAACCAACGAACTAAACTTGACTATCAATATTTCAAAATTTTGCATCAGAAGAAGGTTTCAAATTTATAGTATCTATATCTTCGTATAAATGCTCAACAATTTAGACATCGAAAATCGTTTTGATACCTGTATCTTCTGAAAGCAAGTTGTATCAGTAGCAATTTGTCATGTTTGAATATATGTGAAATATCTAAAAATATAGGATAGCATATTTTGTTCGCTCTTTCCCAAGTTAATTTTGCAAATTACCTCAGACTTTTCAGAGGATTGAGTGGCAACTCAATCCTCTGAAATAGTCTGTGGTAATTTTTAGTCTCTACACTATTTCAATATAAGCTCCATTTTTAAACAGTTTTTAAAAATCGAGCATTGAAAAGTGTGATGAGACTTTTTTTTCAAAAATTCATTGGACCTTATTCGAATAAAAAAGTTTATTTGGATTAACCGGCTGTAATTCGAATAAAGTCCATATGTAATTATGATTACTTTTGTAATTAGGAATAATTGAGTTTCTCGGAATTGAAAATTGAATGGAAATTCCAACCTTAATTCGTAATTCCAACCTTAATTCCTTAGTAATCAATTCAATTTCAATTCGAATAAAGAAGGTCTTATTCCAACTGAAAACAATAATAGGAATTTGGAATAAACTCAATTATAAGAATTAGGAATATTCATTTCCAAAATGGAATTAGGAAATGGATTAAGGAATTGACTAAATAAAATAGCAGATTAATTAGGTTCCTTATTTAAAATGATCATATTAATCATGAAGGATGATTTTTTAGTCTAATCCTGATAATAATCTTGAATCATTTTTATCTATTCCGATCAAACTTGTAATATTAACATAAAGTTTTGCTTTTTCAGTGATGTTTGATATTCCATCACTTTGTATATATTTTTCTCCTTTGGAGCAAATATCAATCAAAGGGATCACTTTGGAGGAACTGCTCTTCATACTGCAGCACAAAATAATAAAGAATTATTAATTTAGTTTCTTCTGCACCATGGTGCAAATATCAATGAAAAAGATGAAGAAGGAAGAACTGCTCTTCATTAGGCAGCATGGAATTATAATAAAGAAAGAGTTGAATTTTTTTTTCATAGTGTAAATTTCAATGAGAAAGATATTGCTGGAATAACAGCTCTTCATATTGCAGATGATAAGATCATTGAATTTTATTGATATAAGAATTAAAGCTGACTTCCATTCAAATTTCCGATCACTGGGGTGAAGCATCATTGAAAATTAACCTCATACACCAGAATTGAAGGCAATGTCATTCTGTTGAAGGCACAACCTTTTTTCTCCTAAATTTTCCCCCTACCTTTATTCCTATAATCAATCCAATATTCGTAATTCGATATTCCTATTCCTAATTCTTATAATTGAGTTTATTCCAAATTCCTATTATTGTTTTCAGTTGGAATAAGACCTTCTTTATTCGAATTGAAATTGAATTGATTACTAAGGAATTAAGGTTGGAATTACGAATTAAGGTTGGAATTTCCATTCAATTTTCAATTCCGAGAAACTCAATTATTCCTAATTACAAAAGTAATCATAATTACATATGGACTTTATTCGAATTACAGCCGGTTAATCCAAATAAACTTTTTTATTCGAATAAGGTCCATTAAAGTTTTCTGTTTTTCACATACGATGTTATAAGCTTATAAAGAAATATCAACATCCAATTCATTTACAAAGTTCAAATTGAGAAAATATTTGAACTTTTCGAGAAAAGAAATTGAATTTTGAAATTATCATACAAATGAGATTATAGAATCAACAAATATATAAAACAATATACTCTGTTCTGATTCTAACTATTCCATGTATCAAAAATGCTGGTATCAAAATTTTTGTATTTCACATTTGATGATAATGGGGCGGCGACAAATTTGCCCAGCCAGTAAAGTATTCAATTTTTTTGCATTTTTTTAAGGGTGCACACGAGAGGATCATGAAAACTTCAGAATTTAGCTTCTTAAGGGTGCACCCGTATGTACGTTTATTTGAGAGGAGGAGGATTACCCTCTCAATTTTGAGGGATTCGTTAGTTTATTTTCTCGATGAATATGCAATAAAATTTGATTTTTACCTTATCAATATACTTCATATAATATACACATGTTCATGTAAAAACTTTTTTTCCAAAATCCTCAGGAATTAAGGGATTTTTGAATTTTAAGAATTTTTTTCGAATTTTTTCGAAAAAAAAATATTTTCAGAACAGCCTTAACGGCTAAGATTTAGGAACAATGTTAAGTATCAAAAAGAAAGGAGGTCTGATATAGACAACATATATCGTTGAAGGTTGAAAAAATCTCTAATATTTGAGCCCAAAATTTCAAATTTTAATTTTTTGAAAAAAAAGGCCACCCGTATGTACGTTTATTTGAGAGGAGGAGGATTATATTTTTGAAAGGGTGAAACATTATGAATATGTTAATTATATAATAATATGTATTATTATAAAAAAGAAAAAATAAAGCACGTTAAAATTTTTCTTTCTTGATTTTTTACAAAATCTACTTAGAATTATGCAAAATATGACTAAATAATTATAAATTTCAAGTTAAATTTTAATTTTGATAAATAATTTAAATTTCAAAATATCAAGTTCAGTTCGACTATGTATGTAGTAATTCCTCAATAAAGTGCCAAAACCCTATTAAAATATATGAACATTTTCAACATTTTAATGTTTTTATTTAAAAATTTGTTGGAATATGAGCTTCAAACAATTATTATGTAAATAAAAATAATTAAATATATGTATTTATTCGTATTACAACCGTAGTAAGTCGATTCTTCCTTTCTTTTACTGAGATTTGAATTTGATTTCGAATTGTAAAGAGATTCAAAGGGAAAATACTAGCGGATAAAAACTACCTCCATGAAAGGGTCATAATGGAGTCAAGTTGTATTTTTTGATATTTTTTGCTTTTCGAGCCTAAATAGGTAGCCAAGATAATGCCTAAAAATAAGGTTCTAAATTCTGAAGTTTACATGATCCTCTCGTGTGCACCCTTAAAAAAAATGCAAAAAAATGTCATAAAATAAAAAAATTTTTAGTATCGATAATCTGAAATATGTTGTTTACTTAAGCCGCTCGCTTCGCTCGCGGCTTAGTTTCGTAATTTCATACAATCTTTTTTCGAATCTGTTCTTTTCTTAAGCCGCGAGCGAAGCGAGTGGCTTAGTTTCGTAATTTCATACAATTATTTTTCGAATTTGTTCTTTTTGTCAACCGCGAGCGAAGCGAGTGGCTTTTTATTTTTTAAAATTTTTTCTTTCTTACTTTTTTTCCCCTTACTTACAAATTTGATAGTAACTTACCAAATCTCTCTATCATATAATAATAAATTAATCCATTTTTTGTTTCAAATCTGACACTTTACATTTCTGACATGTAAACATGTCACTTTTCACTTCACTTCACTGGGCAAGTTTGTGCCCCCCTCGATGATAATTATAAAATGGATTACCATTTGAAATTCCATAATAATTTGTCATAAATATCATCTATATGCGTAAATACAAAATATTTTATAATTTTGAATTTTTTTATTTGATGGAATAAAGCATCCATGGCAGTAGATTTTTATGGAAATAAAGTTTTTAAATTAGGTTTGAAAGGAAAAGCATTTAAATATAATTAATAATGATTTCAAAAAGATATCAAATTAAATCAATGAGTTGATATTGCTTTGAGACAATGATTAGAACTTAGCACGAGCTCTTCTTAATTTTAATTGATATATGAATTGACCATGAGTTATAGGCGGGGTGTGCAAGTAACTACCAATTTCTTTCATGATTTCATTTTTCAATGAACTATTATTCGCATTATCTTTTGAAATATAAGCTCCAGATACTGAAGAAACAGAAGTTTTTGTATCATCAAAGTAGCAGTTTTGAATGTATATCTTAGAATAAGTATTTCCACTGCCACCATTTCCAGAATCTGCATAAGCAAGATAACGTATTTGATTATCTATGAAAATCGAGTTTTTCAAAATGACATTTACACTGTGGGATGAATAGATCAGGTATGAAACACTATTATCGGAAAAGCAACAACTATCTATAGTTAACTTTCCTGAATATACCACTGCAATTCCAAAAGATACAGAATTCGCGGTATTTCCATCAAATATTGAATATTTTATTGAATCATCATCGCCTGGAAATTTAGTAAACATTGGGGTATCATAAGTATTACAACTACTTATGTTCAATCCAGTGTAATTTCCTGATGTATTACGTGATCGAAAAGCATTAACTCCATATTTTGAAGGTGCACATAATTGAATTGTTGTCATAAGGATTTTATTAGGAGCAAAACGAATTGAAGCAAAATTTCCACCATCAAGATAGTAATAAGATGATGTAATTTTATTATAGCACTTATCTGCGGAACATCTGTTTATTGCACATTCACTGCTTTTGGCTTCAAAGAAAAAGGCACCAGCTTGTGAATCATCCCAATTTCCAGTGTTTTCTTTTGTTGCAACTTTTGTAGTTATATTCGAGAACGTACACTCCTCGGTCAAGAATTTAATATCTGTCTGACTTACAAATAGTATGGCATTGGCTGTGAGGTCTTGAATTATTAAATTCTTCAGATAGTAGTTTGCATTCGAAATAAATTCATAATTGCTAAATTCATCCTGAGTTATCCTTATCCTTTCCTCTCCTTTATAAAAATCATCCCATGAATGGCGCAGAAACTGCTTATTGCTAATAAGAAAGACATTACTACATAGGGTTACCCGGTTTTGACACGAAAATATATGTGAAACACTGCTAAAAAAAGCAAAAAGCATTGAGCCAAATCGAAAATTTAAAGATTTTGGCATATTCAGAAAATTCTAATCGTAAATCTTATCCTTTACATCTAGTCTTAATATTTTCATGAAAAGAAACCTTAGGGATTTTTCATTTTTTTCAGAGCTCTGTCAGAATGATTCAAAAGTTTCACAGTATAAAAAACCTTTCATGGCTTATCAATCTTGTTTCTGATATATGTCCAAAATCTACTTTTTTTCTTTTTTTATGCAACCTTATTTTTCTTATTTTCAGGTTTTCGTGGATAGACAAAAATGTACTAAGATTGGGCTCAGTTAATTCTATTGGAAATAATCTTAATGAATTGCGGGCTGTTCATCAGGATTTTCCAAATCAAAACCGAAATTGACGTAATATTTCCTTAAATAGTGGTACCGTGATAAGATTCTTATAAGGTTGCTAATTATAGGATGGGCAAAAAGATAGAAGTAAAATTTGAGTAAATCATTTTCAAATTCAACTCTTAAAACTAACAGGCCAAGGTTTACATGATATAATATTTATTATATCACAGCTGTGTAATTTATATTTTGATAAATTATATTCATTTACAGTTAATTTAACATGGTAACATGAAGATGAAGTTTTTATTTCATAATAATACATAAACATCACAACATATATCACTGCACTATTACTAATCGTGCGAAATTCAAAAAATGCAATATAAAAAGAAAAATTTATATAAACAAATAAATATAGAGAATATATAATTAGTTTTCAGTTGACATTATACTACATAACATATCAACTAGTTCTGGGAACTTTTCCTCTGCTGTTTCAATAATATCATCGATATCAATCAAATTTTGAAGTTCATTTAATGAATTTGGGTCATTTGAGCGATAAGCCTGGAATATATTGATTATTGACTTTAGAATATATTCAGTTATTGCATTGTTATTACCCAAATCAAGAATATCCGAAAATAATTTTAAAAGAGGCTCGGTTCTGTCTAAATAGCTCAGCAATTGCGTTGTATTCATCAATGATGTCATTTGTGCCAGAACAGATGCTAAGATTTCTTTGAAGTTCAATTGTAAATTTTCATTAAGTAAATATCTTTGAGTAATCGCGTCAAATAACTCTAAAATAGGTATGTCAAAGTTGTTAATACATAATATTTCATTGAGAATATTTAATGCACTAATTTTGCTTATTTGGCTGGCTCCATTCAAAATTTCATTAATAACAGCGTCAAAACAAACCAAATATGGAAATTTATAATCCTTATACAACAGGAATAAACATTGCAATGCAATTGCTTGATGTTCATGAAGAGATGAATTGATATATTCTTCCACGATTGAAAAATCAAAATTAGAAGCCAAAATGTTTCCTATAGATTTCCTACTTAATATTGATAAAATTAATCTCAGTCCTATTTTGGATGTTTCCAGTTTTGATAGGAAAAATGGAAGAGAATCTAAAATAAAAGAAGGATCAACTGTAATCATATTATCATTAACTATATGTCTATACATAATGCCTACAGCTGTTGCATAACTGATATCATTTGTTTCAAACTTGGAATTTAAATCATGAAAATTTATATGTGAAACTAAGTATTCTTTGCATGATTTATCGCATTGCAGAACTAAGTTATCAATCACTTTAATGATCAAATAGTTGTTTGATGTCTCTAAAAAGTGGATAATCAGATCTAAAACATTTTCAGAATTGAACACATCAAAAATCGATGATTTTTGTCCGGATAAGTTGATTATAAGACATAGATATTCTGTTTCAATTGGATCAAATTTGATATCTCTAAAATAATAGAGAATTTTTTGTATTAAGTCGTTAACATCTGCAGACTGTATATCATTTGTAAATAAAAGTTTCTTAATTTCATCTAAAATGCTTTTAATCTTGTTTAAATTTGGAATTTCTTGATCTAGTTCTTCATTAAGCGAAATAATACTATTAGTTAATATTTCTGCGTCTTCTGCATCAGATTTCTTTATTGCTACCTCTCTTTTATATATAAAACTATCTTCGCTTTCTTTGTACAAAATTAATTTAGGGTCTTTATCCAATAATTAATGGGGAAATCAACTGAACAGAAAATTTTAATGACAATTTCCAGCTCTGAGATCAATATATTGATCCAAAGGTACTTTCAAGAACTAGGCTACGACCATTCTGCATTCGCTTTTGGTTCGGAATCGAAAATTCCTCAGCATCCAGTGGCTGAAAAACAAATTCCGGCCGGATCCTTGATTTATTTGATCCAGAAAGGAATTATGTTCGCTCAAATAGACTCAGCAGCCCACGAGATTGCAGAGCAAGAAAACGACAGTCAATTTGGAGAACAAATCAACTATTTACGAGCAAATTTCCGGCAATCAGTAGAAATTGCCGATGAAGTTTGTCAGTCTACGCGACGAATGAAAGTATTTCATACAGATCAAGCAGAAATCCAGCCAAATATTCTTTCATACCATTCATCCCTTGTTTTACATAGCCATTTTGCTCCTATTAGTACAGCCGCATGGAGTCTTGATGGCAAGTACCTTGCAGCAGGCTCATGCGATGGCTCAGTTGTCGTTTGGAGTTTTGATAATCTCAAATCTCCTGATTGCAACGTCGAAGAGAAAACAATTTACTTAAATCCAGCCGAATCCGAGAACGAAGCATCCGACATTACAGCTCTTAAGTGGTCAGAAACAACACTTGCCGTTGGTTCATTTTCTGGCTATCTTTCTCTCTACAAAGGCGATACATTATCATGCCAAATCATCGAGCATAATACACCAATAGTATCTCTCGACTTCATTGGCGAAGTTCTCGTTTCTGGATCGTTGGATGGAACAATTTTGATATCAAAGGATAACGCTATCCTTTCAAAATTTAAACTGGAAGGTGGCGAACTTACAGATGTCAACCATACTGACGATACAAAGGTCATTGCTTCATGCGGAAATACAGTTTACCTTATTAACGTCGATGGCAGCGATCCTACAGCATTATTTAGTACTCCTGCACCTATTGTTTCACTTTGCATCGATTCCAAACGCCAGTTCATTGCTGCAGCCGACAACGACCAATCTGTCACTTATTTCAAGATCGAACAGTCAGAATCACGTAAAGATTCTATCCAAAAACCAGCCTGTTCACTCGCATTCGACACAAAAGGTAACTACATCGTTGGAACTACAGATGGTTTCTTGAAAATCATCACTCCAGAGGGAAACATGCACACGTCGTTCGATATTCATAAGAAACCACCACATTCTATTGCTATTGATCCAAAGGAAAGGTTCTTTGCAACTGCTTCTTCTGATGGTTTCGTCGCAATTTTCGATATTGCAGCATCTAAAGTTATAACTGCTTACATATCATCGGAACCTGTTAATGGACTTGCATGGGGACCAACCGGAAGACTTCTTTGTATAATTCTCAATTCTGGCGCTGTTGCAATATTAGATTTCGACCAATTATGCTAATTTCTATGTATTTTTGATTAATTAATAAATAATGGTGTGTTTCTTATTATTTAGTTACATTTTTATTACTAAATTACATATTACAAGAAAAAATATTACATCATATTGTAATGATTTAAAAAATGACTCATTACAGTATGCGTCAATTGAAACAAATTCATATGCAAATAATAAAATATCGAAAATTTAGCATTCATTTCTATATTTTCTTCATATTTTGTAATGAATTGTATCAGAAATTTAAGACAACTCATCATCAAAAACAGAATTATTATAGATGCAGAAAATTATGAAGAGTTAGAAATGTTTACTAAAGTTTGTAAAAAAAGTGAAAGTTTATTAACTTTAGAAATACTTTTATTGATAATTGCAATTTCTACTTGGCAATTATCAGTTGAAAAATGAATCAATTTGTTAGTAAATAGTTCTCTTGGATTAGTAGGTTCTACATTTCTAAGAAATGTTGATGAAGTCGAATTGTCAATGTAACAACTATCAACTGTTAATTGATCAATACCGTGGTATATCAAATATGAACCTTGAGCAGCAGTGTTGTTAATAAAAGAACAACTTTTTACAGTAAGAGAATTTTCTTGATGGTAAATAATTCCATTAACTGATTGAGTAGTAGTATTATTTATAATATTACATGAATCAATCAAAGCGTTATACCAAATACTTATCGTTTGATCTTCTGTTGCCAAATTATTAACAACGGTTGTATAGTTAATTGTTGTTGTGTATTTACGTGTTTTACATTCAAATTTTCCAACAGGTAGGTAATTAGCTTTATTTGATGAGAAATTTGTTGATGAAACTATGATATTACCACTTATTGCTCTTAAGGCATCCTGACCAACGCCTTCTTTTCCTACATCGTAAAGAGAACTTTCAATAAAAAAGTTTATGTTATCTGTTTTCATTTCTGTATTAGAAAAGTGCCCCTTTGTCTGGCTTTGGCATTTTGTACAACAAAATTTTCGTTGAACAATTGAACTATCGCTTCCAATGAAGCAAATGCAACTCCCGTCTCCGGATGAAGTGCAATTACTAAAAGAACACAGATTATGTAGGAACAGTGAATTGGAAACAGGGTTGAAATCAATAACTCGATCTTTGTCATCAAAGAAATTGCATTCTTCCAAGTAATATTGGCTATTTCCAGCTTCAACATTGCAGTTTACGCATGATTTCGTTTTTGAACTTGAAAATTGTGAATTGAAATATTTGTTCCATGGGTCGTCATCTTCTGCGGAAGATGACTTTTTCCCAAATTCATCCACACTGACAAATAACCGCAAAATTTTTAAATGAAAAAGCTTTATAATATTATGCATTTCATACACATCATGAACTGGGAAAAATTATTTTTGAGAATCTATTCAAATTAATTCTTTATTTTTATCACTTCTATCTTGTTATCAGGTGATTTTCATAAGAAATTATTTATAGAATGTCATACAAATATGTAACATAGTATACAATGCATACAATTTCACCCAAAGAAATCAAAAAGAAGATTCGGAATATATAAAATTGGAACTTTAAAAAAGAATATTAGAATTTTCAGAGTAAAAACAATCATAAAAAACAATTTTTATTCATACCCATGATCTATGTCTCATAGAAATGCATCTTCTGCTTGGTCTAATTCCATCTTGAGGCTCTTCGTAACCAAGACTTAATAAACATTGTCTTACTTCCTCTGTAGTAGCATAAGAAAACAGTAATCTTGAGTTATCTATCTTCTGACCACCGTGTTCTGTGATATACAAAACTAATTCAGGAATTCCGACTTTAACTGCCATCAAAAATGGAGGTTCTTGGAAGAATGTATGGTCTGTCTCATTAATATCGAGTCCTGCTTCGAGACAGCGAATAAATGCGTAAGTATTGAATGAAGCAATGCAATCTGTAAGTGTTTGTCCAATGCATCCGTATTCATCAAGTAGCCAGTCGAATATTTTATGTCTATGATGATGAATTGCGTATAAAATGCAATGTTCGAAATTATGACCTTGTTGAGCGATTGTTTCAATGATATCGTTGTTTCCTCCGGATATGGCACATTGTATTGTCGATTGAGTTATCTCCAATCCGTTAATTTGTAAGTAATTAAAGATTTCTAAATTGCCACATGCAGCTGCAATATCTAAGCATGAAACTAGGTCTTTTTCGTATGTAAATTGTTCTTTAAGGAGATTTGTATTGGCAGAAAGAGTCACGACGTTTTGATAGTTATTTGTTGCAATTTCATAGGCAATTGTACCTTTTGGAAATGGTATTTCGAGTTCTTCGGCCGTTCTAGTAATATATTCTAATGATCTAATTTGTGTGGGTCTAACATATCCGCACTTTTCTGCATATTGTATAAAATCAGTATAAGGGAAAGTAATTCTTCCTTTTCTAACTTTTGAAAATAGCATAGCTAGTGCCTTGAAGTTAAATCTTCTTTGCTCTGCAGCATAAATTATTAAATTGATAAGATAAAATGTTGAAACGTTCGGGAATTGATATATTTTATCAATTGTTTCATCAACATTATCAATAGTCGTATCAAACACAAGATTCTCTATAATATAGTATTTTCTTAATGATTCAGGTACATTTTCAATAAATTCATCTTCGTACATCTTTTGAAAAAGTGACACTTCTTGATTAAATTTTATAGTTATCCAGTCGTTTAAGCATGATTTTTCTACACAAATTACGGCATACAATTGAAAAGTAGTATAGTATGCGGGTTTTGTGCACAAATTTGTAATCCTTTAAAAACAAAAACGTGCACATTAATTTTTAGTCCGTTTCTTCACAAAAATCGACGTTTTCAGCCCGTTTCTCAGCAATGTATCATGAATTTTCTAAAGCAAAATGCATACCCCCTTATGAAGAAACCAAAGCAACATTCATGAAATTCATTAATTTTTTGACCAAAACTCACAAATTAATTTACAAAAATAAAAAAAATAAATAATTTTATGATTATCTTTCTAATTTTTAAGCATTATCTGCTGGTGAAGCGTATTTAGCTGGGGTTCCTGTAGCATGGTATTTCAAACCATCTTCAGGACTCCAAGTCCAGTAAGTAGTTCTAGTAAACCATATCTGAGGTGGATCAGGATTCTTTGTGCAATAAACATCCGCTTCAGCATTAGAATGAATTGGGTTTGCTTGTAATCTGATGCTAACTTGGTTATTCTTTGTTTCTAAACCGTCAAAGAAGACACTTCCACCATCTCTCATAACAGGTATTGTGCAAATAAACGACGTTTGATCTTTCCATGGTTTAATCTTTTTCTTGTCATTACATCTATCTCTAGTTAAACTATCTTCATATTCTTCAGTACATTCATTAACTCCATCTAAATCACTTGCTTGCAACATTCTTGTGAAGAATATATCTCCAACAGTGCTCATTGCATTGTCTGGGAAGTTTCTTCCATCGATTGTGATTTGTAAGTTTCTAACCATAGGATTCCTAAATACTGTTCTCTGAGCTTGTCGCATTGGGAATACAGCAACAATATCTGTGACATTATGTAAAGCATATGTGAAATCGGAAACAATTCCGGAATTTGTAACACATCCCTGGTTCAATGTTCTTACATCAATTTGCTGTGCTGGAATCATAAATGGATCTCGACGATTGAATAATGTCGGAATTGCTCTCGCTGTTGATTCAATAACACCATATCCCGGAACGATAAATTTATCTTCTGTAATTCTCATACCTACAACTTGAATGTTAACAGATTGTGTTTTGACTGTTAACTCAGTCGCGTTTTTTTTCGTGATTGAAGTAATTCGATTTGTTGGTTGTCCAATTTGTTCAAATTCACGTGTATAGTCAAATTTGGTTGACATTGCTAATCCATAATCGTTATCATGTAATTCTTCATAACAAACATTAAGAATATCACTAACTCTTGCAGGATCAACTTGACAATAAACCAATGAATGAGGTGTGTTATAATATTTCAATATAATATCACCAAAACTCTTTGGATAATCATCAAATGCTTGGAATGCTAATAAATCATTTAATGGTATAATCATATCAAATTCAATTGTACGAGTTTTTTTCTCTGGATCCCATTTTCCATCATTCGGGTTAAAATAACATCCGCATACTGAATTATCCATTTTCTGAACATTATTATACAATGAATGTACAAACTTCTTTGTCTTTCTTTCTGACTTTGGTTTATATGTAGCATATGCAAAACCTTCTTTAACCATTTCCATTTGTAAGTATCCTGTATCACCTCTATCTGTTTCAACTTCTAATTGTCTAAATATTTGATTACTTGACTTAAATCCAATAAATATTCTGTTTATATTCATGACTTTTGTAGCCGCGTATTCTTGTGCTTTACCACCGTGTTCTGCGTCATCGAATACGGGTAATTCTTGATTAGTAAACGTCACTTCATCTTTAGAATTACCGTTACTATACTGTATTTCTATTGACACATGACGTTTGAAATAAGCTTCACCTAAACAGTTAATATCATGTTCAGATTTTGATAATCTCATATGTGTTTGTTTTTCATGATCATATGGAGCATCACTATCATAGCAAGTATTTTCTAACTCACGATAATAACGACGACCATCATTTGCAGAGAAAATCTCATTCATTTTCTTGAAAGATTCGAAAACATTTCCATCAACTGGATGATATCCATCATTTCTCAAATAAGCGCCTGACATATTTTTATAATGATTAAAAAAATTAACTTTTTATTTAAATTAAATATAAAAGTTATGGCAGCAGGAATCTTCAAAAAAATTTGGGAGGGAGTGAAAAAAGTAGGTACTACAATTAAAAATTTATTTTCAAAACCAATTGTAAAAACATACAATTCAAATGATTTATGTGGACTTGGACCACCTAAACCAATGTCTGGTTATTCGCAAAGTCAGATGGCAAGAAATTTAATACCAAAAATTGAACAAAAACAATCATATCAAAATGTTAATAGAATTGATCCAATATTGAAGAAATAAAAATTTTAAAATGAAATAAATGGCAGCTGGATTCTTTAACAAAAAGTTTATGTGTCGTTTAATGAAGAGTGATATTTGGAAGGGTAAATCACATTGGGAACCACCAAAGCCCAAAATAGTAAAAGTTATTCCAGCAGGTAATGCAAAACCTATTGAACCAAAGAAATAAAAAATTTTAACATGAAATAAATATGGCAGCTGGATTAATTAAAAAACTTCGTGAGAAATTAGCAAATTGGAAACCTTGTGGTTTTGGAGCAAATAGTCAAAAATGGAAAAATGATTCAAAACGTTTTATACCTAATTTTCCACAAACTGTTTCACCAGCACAAAAATAATTTCTCAAATATTTTTATCAAATATTTTTATCACCGCCTCTTACCACCAATCAGACCCTTAGCAATTTCACCAGCGGTGCCACCTATTTGAGCACCTTGTCCTCCACCAAATTTAGCACCTATTGCAGTACCGATTGCTGGTAAGAAGTCTTTTACAGCAGTTGCAACTGGTTTAATAACTTTATTCCAAGCCCATGTTGCACCTTTCTTGATTCCATTCCAGATTTTCTTAAAGAAACCCGCAGCCATATTTAATTTAATTAGATTAAAAAAATTAATTTTAAACATTAAATCGTGAATTTATTACTTCAATAATCATATTAACTCTTTCTTCAATTGTTTGTATTCGTTGAATTATTTCTTCAATTTTCATAGTATTTGTAATTCTTGATTCTGGAATAGATTTCAAACTAACTTGACCTTTAATTTTAGTTATTCGGAATCCATCTATTTTAAACATTTTATTTAATTTACATGTTGTTAATTCATCAAATAAATTTTTGTTTTGTTCATAAAACTCATTAAATTCATCAATACTTTCAAAATTAGTACATTCTTTAATTGGTTTTATGATTTGTAATTTCTTTTCAGGTTTTTAATTTCAACTTTTTCTTCATCATCTTCATTTATTTCTTTTGGAACTTGTTCAATCTTTTTCAAAATTGGTTTCATATTTTTAAAAATAAATAAAAAATTAAATTTTTTTGACAAAATAGAGAGGAACTTCAACTTCAACATCACCTTCTAAAATTTCATCTTCTCCATCATTTATTTCATCATCTTTTCGAAAAGTAACGAGAACAATTGCATTACCATCTTGATATCTTTGAAACAAACCTAAATGATCAAAATTCCTTCTTCTCTTCTTAAATAGTTGTTTTGTCTTTGATGTATCTAAATAAACTAAAACTTCATCACCAGGTTGAAATCCATAATAACCATTCTCATATAATCTTTGCTTCACTTCATTTAACTTTTCTGTTTTTCTTCTAATAAATTCCCATTCTTTATCTCTATGAGTATGCATTTTTAAAGGTGTCATCTTTATTGATTTATGCCATGTATTATTGTAATAATAACATAATTGTTGAATTAAATTATCATGTTTACCATCCCAATAATTTTGTCTCTCTGGACCTAAAGCATTTCTTAAAGTTCTCATTACACTATCAACAACTTTATTATGATAAGTAAATTTTGATGAAGAAGCATGAAAACCAACTCCATATAAAGGATGATATTGAATTTCTTTATGAACAAGAATTTGTTTCATTCCTTCATTCTTTTTACGACGACCTCTTCTTTTTGTTGGTGGTTTATAATTTTCATCAGGAACAAGTTCATAATCCATTTGATTTTCATATTTTGATTTTTCAATCATTATCATTTGCATTGCACTTTCAAAACCAGCATCACCATCACATTTAATCATTTTAACTTTATGACCAAAATGTTCATATTCAAGTTCTGTAATTTTTTTTATAACATCAAATGTTTCAATTGCTTCTTTTGTTTGAACTGGAAACAAATATAAATATTTAGTATTAACATTAATGAAAACTAAATACGATGCAACCATTAATGTTTTACCATGATTTTTAACAGGTCTACCATGCAAATGATCCATTTCCCAAGTATCTGGTGTGAATGCAAATGTTGGTCTTTGAAATTTCTTTTTCAATGGTGCTAATTTCGAATCATGAATAATTGTTTCAATTCCATGTTGAGCTCCTTTATAAGACTTGATTTTGTATACAGTTTGAAATGGATATTTTAAAATTTCATCATTTTCAAGAAAGTCTAATTCATATGGGTACCCCCTAGTTTCTTTTTGAAAAATTTCACTTTTATCATTTTTTAACATTAATTTAAATAAGATTAAAAAATTATGGCACAACAAGAAGATAAGAGATGGGTAAAAGCTTTTCAAGCTATAAAAAGAGAAGGCGGAGATGAATTGTATAAAATTTATGTAAAACATCTGACAGCTGGATTCAAAAAAAGCGAGTTTGTTGTTAAATTAAAAGAGGAGAATGAAAGAATCTTAGATCAATTAGGAAAAGCAAATAAAGAAATAGTAAATTTAAGAGAAAAATTGAAAAAATATGAATCATGTGGAAATCCAGCACCAAGTAAAAACACAACTGGTGGATATGGACGACAACAATCAAAACCATCCGCTAATCCTAATGTTAAAGCAGAAATGGATAAATTATCTAAACTTAATGATGAGAGTTCTAAGAAAGTTAAAGAATTACAAGCAGAAGTTGATAAATATAAGAATGCATTATTAGGTAAAGGTAATGAAAGTGAAGTTTTAGTAACAAACTTGAAGAAAGTTGAAGCTGAAAAGAATACATTACAATCTCAACTTACAAAACTGTCAGAGGAAAATACAGAATTAAATCATAAAATTAATGAAATGTCCATGAAGTTGAAATCACTTGATAAAGCAAACGAAGCAAATACAAATACTTCACAAGAATATATTAACAAGATTGAATTAGAAATTTATAACACGAGGGATATAATAATTGAAACAATTACAAAAGTTTTAACAGTAGTTGGTGCATCACAAGAAGATTTTGACAGAACTCACAGCAACTTTGAACAAGTCAAAAATGAAAGAATGAATCTGACAACGTTTGCAGGTTATGCTAAAGAAGAAATTGTGAATCAAATTGGAGGTTTCAAAAACAATACAAGAGACCTTTTTGAAAATGTTAATATGCAACTTGTTGATATTTTACTTACATTCACGAATTTTGCAGGTTACAATGAACTTTCAGCTGAGATTGATGATACTAAGAAAGATATTGAAAGTTCTGAATTTACGGGTAACACAGATCCAATTCAAGGAATCCAAGTCCTTCGTGATACAAATACAAAGATATTGCAAAAAGTTATGAATGATTATAATGATTTAAGACAATCTGCAAACAAATTATAGATTATTATGCACAAGTTGGACCTGGTATAACTGACAAATTAAATCAAAATGATGGTTTTGAAAAAATTAATTCAACAGTTGCAACAATTTTCGATGGATTAACACAATGGATACAACAAAAAGCTGGAGAAGTAAATGAATTACAACAAAATGTTCAACAAAGTGCTAATATTGATGTTGATGCATATCAATCTAAAATTGATGAACTCACTAATCATTTAACTGAAATACAACAGAAATTAGTAGAATATTTACAAAATGAATTAAATAATATTGATGTCAATGAAGCATCGAGAAAGAAATCAGATTTTGAACAATTAGTTACAAATGATGAACCAATCTTAAATCAAGTTGATTTCATTCTAAATATGTTTACAAATGATTTAGCAGTAGCAAGAAACAAATTAGGATCAATCGATCAAGAGAAACGTTATGTTCAAGGTGAATTCCTTGGTATTACTTTCAATGAAATTGCATTAAACAACTATGCAAAATCATTCCAACGTTCTTATGCTATTTTACTTGCAAACCAAAAAACTGAAGAAACCGAGTTTCATTATTATTCAATTCCTTCGCAGAAAATGATGAAAGTATTAATGGATAATTATACACAAGATCAATTTGAAATGAATGTTCAATTCACAAATGGTGGAATGTATTTTATTCAGTTACGTTATGGAGAAACAATCTATCCATTTTATATCGATGATGATTGGTTACATATATTTACATTCTTTATTCAACAAGTTATTTCAGCGAATTTCCTTCTTGGAACAGATGTAGCATTGAGTTCACTTGATCAAATTGAGAATTTACCTGATGACAATGAAATCAAAATAAAATGGAATCAGGTAACAGAGAATTTTGAATGGAATAAAGTTGATGAAGATGGAAACATTATTGAACAAAACGATGGTGAACTTCATTATGGAACATTTTGTGGTGACAATCAAGATAATCAAGAACAATATGTACCACAAGCACAACCAGAAATTAACTTAACCCCAGATGACTATGGCAACCTTGTTGATGATTATGGAAACATAATTGTTCCAGTCGAAGAAAGACAATTTACAGATGACAATGGAAATGTAGTTGATTATCGTGGTAATCTTATTGCACCAGCATACGACGAGGACCAAGTTGATGAATCTGGAAATCCTATTTACTAATAAATGGCATACAACAACCATTCTCACAACAGACTGCTTTAGTGTGAGCACCAGTTAATGCAGTTTTAGCAATTGACAATCTTGACATCTTCCATTCTTTAATTGCAATGTTATATTTTTGCCATCAAATGAAACTCCATCTTTTAATATTTGGTAATAATTTTCGGGAGTTAAATGTTCATTCTGTTTCAATGAGACTCCTTTCATTTTCATTGCAATCTTCTTGAAATCAGTTTCTTTCAAATGTCCATTGAATGAAGTATAACATTTAGGACATAATGCAATCATGTTATCTCCTTGTTTCTCAATTGCTAAACCTAATAACTTCTTCTCATGTTGTTTTTCTTCCATCTTATTTTTGAGTTTCGGTTTATATTTTTGATCAAAACAGAAGAAATCATATGGAGCAAATTTGTAAATGTTCTTATCATAAAAGTTTTTGTCAATGATGATTGCTTGAAATGCTTGAGTGTTTGGTAAATTAGGATCACCAGCAATTGCCCAATAACTTGAATCAGTATCTCCTTCAATGAAATGAAACTTATTTGTATCCATGCATTTATACATGAAGTCATAAATGAAAACTAAATACCAATATTTAGCATTATCTAATGTAAAGAATGCTTCTTGCAAACATGTATCACAACGATAATATTTATCTTTCATCATAACTTGATAAACATTATCACCAATCTCTCTGATATTCTTAAACATTTGACTCATGCATGCCATTCTTGCTTTGTCTTCTTCCATAATCTTTGATTTTGTATAATTTTGAGTATTCATTGCATCATAACCATAAGATCCATTCAAAGAGATCTTGCAAAACAAACTTTTACCTTTGTTTCCATTCAACTCTGCTTCTTGTCTGACTCTCATGAATTCATTTGCAAAATCATGGAAGCAAGTGTTCTTAGCAAATGTCAAAATAGATTTAACATCGTCAATTATGAAATGAAATCTGTCAATGAGGTACCATAAGTAATAACTTGAAAATGACATATATTCACCATGAGTAGATGCTAATTGTGTTAACTTTCTCTGTTTCTGATCAACTAGAATATTATTTGTTTTCATGTAATTGTACATGAATGAACCAATTGTTTCTTCATTTGTTACAATGTCTAAGTTTCTAATAATTGGTAAGAAATTAATGTAATCATTAATGTATTTCTCATCGATGTGACCTTTAACTTCTGTAACAAACAATTCTTGTTTCTTCTTAATTATTCCTAATGCCATTGCTTTCTGAGCTGTTGATTCACAAATTAAAACATTAGTTAATCTTCCTGGCATATACATTCGATGGTCAGTGTATTTGATAAATGGATGAGGATTAGATGAGAAACATGAAGGATATAAAGAATTGAAATCAACACCAACAAAATGAGTCATAACATTATCTGTGTCATGATTTGAAACTTTACCATTGTCATAAGTTAATTTGTTAATATGTGTAACATTCTTCATATTAATACGATGTTGAACATTAGATAAACCACCTGTGATACCATTTCTTAAGATGTGGTATGCTTCAAATGAATCTAATGTCATTGGCAAATTGTATTTGATTGCAAAGTTTCTCAAATTAACTCTTAATCTTACTATTTCTTCATCTTTGTTTGATTTAACGACATTGCAATAGCAACACATTAATTGACAATTCTCTTTTGTATGACCTAAATCATTATCAATTCTATCTAATGTTGGTTTGTTGTCATATGTGAATGCTTTACCACATAATGCACATTTCGATTTCAAAATCAAATCTCTGTAATAATCTAAATCATCAATTGTAACATTATTCTTAATATCTCTTTTTGCTTTTAGATCTTGTTTGTTATAACAGTCAACTTTGTATTGCCAATACTTCTTTGACAAAATGAAATTAGAATCTTTTTCTTCTTCAGGATATTTTTCACTTGGATTGAAATCTTTGTAAGCCAAACTATATCTTATCATTGACGCATTTGAACTTAAACTTAAGTTATGTAGCATATCAACTTTATAAACAAATGTTTCATCAATGATTTTATTAATCGGTTTGATCATGATTTCAACATCTTTGTTACAATAATAGATGAAATAGTCCAAACGATTTTTGAATTGTTTATAATTGTTCAAGTAAATTTGATAATCGTCATCTGCAATTGTTTGTTGAGTTAAACTTGAGAAGAACATTTCTTTCGTGAATGGTTCAGTTTTGAATAATTCTTCTTTCCAATTGTCCCATGTTATAGCTTGATAAGGAAAGAACGATTTAACTCTTTTAACATTATCTCCAAAGTCTTGAGTAAATTGATCTAATGTACCACCTGCAACAAAGTTTCTGATATCAATGAATCTCAAATTTGGATATTCTTTCTTATGAACTGTGATTTGTTTATACTGCGAAGAAGAGCCAAGCATTGACAAAATCTTCCATCGTGCAGTATTAAACTCTCTTAAGATTAAATTCAAATCGAACTTGCTTGAATTAAATCCAATCACATTTACATTTGAATATTCGTCTTCGATTAGTTTTAGAAATTTTTCTTCTTGTTCAATTGTTTTCAATTTACTAAAAACTTCTTCATATTGATTCATGTTCAATTCTTTAACTTCTTTTGCTTTTTCAAATAACCAATCAATCCAATTGATAATAAAGTTTTCATCAGTAGCATAACAAAGGTTCTTTGTAACATCTTCGCATACACTTGAGACCATGAATGGTTTTAATACTGCATTTAAAGTTGTTGATTTAGTAATTGATTTTTCCTCTGTTGTCTCTAATGTTTCAAAATCAAATGTAATGTAGTGTATTGTTGGTTTGTAGTAATCTTGTAAGCCATAAGCTAGTAAGAACTGGTAGATCTTTTGTTTTGTAATGTGTGGAGCGTAAGGTTGTTGAGTTGGTTGTAATTGAACATCTTGAATTAACTTGCAACCGTTCATCTTGCACTTCTCACAATGTTTCCAAAATCTTGCTTGATTCTTTCTATCTGGATCATCGATTAAACTGTAAACTTCTTCTTTGCAGTAAGGACAAACTCTGAAACCGACTAATCTTTCAACATCTGTGATGGCATCTGTGTGTAGCTGTCCGTCTTTGTTCTTTGTTAGTAAGAAATTGATTGTTTTGTAATTTGGATCAACAATGTAACTTTCAACAAGTTCGAAATCTACATCTTCAACATTAATGTCTTCCTTTTCTTGTGGAGAACAATAGTAGTAATCGATATTAACTTTAAATTTTTTGCATAATGCTTCAGACTCTTTTGCAATGTCGAAACCTTCATAAGAATCAATTGCGTCATTTAAATATTTTCTTCTTGTTTCAGGATTAACTCCATCAGGTATGTTATCAAATTCCTGAAAGAGTTTCTTCCCTCCAGCAATGATAGCTTTATCACTCATTTTTTATTAGCGGAAAAAAGTGTCAAGGTTAAAAAAATTAAGTTTTTATTCATCAAAGATTATGTGATCAAAGTTTGACCAAGGTAATATTGTTGTTTCTTTGACAATATTGTATGTCAATGGGTTTGGTAAGAACTTACTCGTTTCATACATCAAGACTGTGTAAATCGACTTTGCTTTTCTTGTAAAATCGTGATTGAAACGTAAGGATGTAATCCAATGGTTCTCATGTTGTAAACAGAAATTCATCAAAAGTGACACCTCAGAAAAGCTAAAATATTGGATTTTTGGAACTTTTGATAGAGCACGTTTTTAAATATTAATTAAATTAAATGTATATTTTGTAAAGATTCTTTTAAAAAAAAAAAAAAAAAAAAGGTATTGGGGGTTCCAGGGCTGCGCCCCTCTACCCCCTTGAAGATGTTTAGTATGCAATGAAGTATAAAATGAGGTTTTTGAGTGAGTCGGGCTTCCAGGCACTTCGTGCCTTCTAGCCCCTAAAATTTTTGAAAGTCGTTGCTGTTGACTTTTTGGTAGAGGACTCAAAATAGTAGAACTATGTCCGGACAAGTAAGGGTCTATCGTCGCTACGTCACCAGGTCCCTCGGTCCCTCGGTCCCTCGGTTAAACGAACTTCTCTGAAAAAATGAGACAACATGACATTTTGACAACAGTCCAGGAAGTCTCAACAAAGTCTTTACAAAGAAGTCTCAACAAAGTCTTTACAAAGAAGTCTCAACAAAGTCTTTACAAAGAAGTCTCAACAAAGTCTTTACAAAGAAGTCTCAACAAAGTCTTTACAAAGAAGTCTCAACAAAGTCTTTACAAAGAAGTCTCAACAAAGTCTTTACAAAGAAGTCTCAACAAAGTCTTTACAAAGAAGTCTCAACAAAGTCTTTACAAAGAAGTCTCAACAAAGTCTTTACAAAACATTGACCAAGAAGAACTTGACAAAGTCTTTACAAAACATTGACCAAGAAGTCTTTACAAAGTCTTTACAAAGTCTTTACAAAACATTGACGAAGAAGTCTTTACAAAACATTGACCAAGAAGTCTTGACAAAGTCTTTACAAAACATTGACCAAGAAGTCTTTACAAAGTCTTTACAAAGTCTTTACAAAACATAGACAAGAAAGTTCATGAGAAAGTCTTTACGATGAAGAACTTGACAAAGTCTTTACGATGAAGAACTTGACAAAGTCTTTACGATGAAGAACTTGACAAAGTCTTTACGATGAAGAACTTGACAAAGTCTTTACGATGAAGAAGTCTTGACAAAGTCTTTACGATGAAGAACTTGACAAAGTCTTTACGATGAAGAACTTGACAAAGTCTTTACGATGAAGAACTTGACAAAGTCTTTACGATGAAGAACTTGACAAAGTCTTTACGATGAAGAACTTGACAAAGTCTTTACGATGAAGAACTTGACAAAGTCTTTACGATGAAGAACTTGACAAAGTCTTTACAAAACATTGACAAGAAAGTTCATGACAAAGTCTTTACGATGAAGAACTTGACAAAGTCTTTACGATGAAGAACTTGACAAAGTCTTTACGATGAAGAAGTCTTGACAAAGTCTTTACGATGAAGAAGTCTTGACAAAGTCTTTACGATGAAGAAGTCTTGACAAAGTCTTTACGATGAAGAAGTCTTGACAAAGTCTTTACGATGAAGAAGTCTTGACAAAGTCTTTACGATGAAGAACTTGACAAAACATTGACAAGAAAGTTCATGACAAAGTCTTTACAAAACATTGACAAGAAAGTTCATGACAAAGTCTTTACAAAACATAGACAAGAAAGTTCATGACAAAGTCTTTACGATGAAGAACTTGACAAAGTCTTTACGATGAAGAACTTGACAAAGTCTTTACGATGAAGAACTTGACAAAGTCTTTACGATGAAGAAGTCTTGACAAAGTCTTTACGATGAAGAAGAACTTGACAAAGTCTTTACGATGAGTTTAGATACGATAAGATAGAATATGAGAGAGGTCCTATAAACCGGAAAAAGTGTCATATAAACATCTGTCAAAAGCCGCTTTTTAACTTCACTTAAATGCCACGTAAGAATATACGTAAGAGGAAGAGAGCATTGAAACATCCAATAGTAAGACTAACACCACAACAACAGTTGCAACAACAAATGCTGAATGACCCCACTATGTTGCAACAAATGTCAAGCAATCCTATGCTTTTAAACCGAGTTCTTGGTGCACAGAGTGGAGGTTTAAGAGCGGCACTTTTAGCGAAAATGGCAGGCTATGGTGGAACAGCATATAACCCTCAAAGTCAAATGAATTTGAGTTCACTCAAAAATCAAATAGCAGATGTCAAAAAGTCAAACATAGACATACAGAAGCAAATATGTGAAAACGAAAAGAAACTAGAATATGACAGACACACAAAGAAACTCAATGAGTTAAAAATAGAGAAAAAGAAGAAAGAAGAACAACTGAAAGAACTAAGTACAGAGGAATATGCGAAAAAAGTGTCAGAAAAAGCAGCAGAAGTAGCAAAAATGGAACAAGATGTCATAAATTTGAAAAACCATACTACTCGATATAAAGTACTGAAAGATGAAGAGATAAAACAAAAAGCCCTGAAGACATATGTGGATAGCGATGAGTATAAAAAAGAAGTTGAAGCAAATGTAAAGGCAGAAAAACTTTTACAGTTGCAGAACCAAACCGTACAGTATGAAAACTTAGCACAAGAAAGTAAAAATAACGACGCGTCCATGCAAAAGGTAATGAAAAGCGTAAAAAATAGAACGAACGAAAGAAGAAAGGTTTATGAGTCCGGATGACTTAGATAGGGAACTTGTTGAAAACGGTCTCGGAATATATGAAATGCCATCAGATGAGGTACAAGAAACTCCACAGGAAGAAGTTCAGATACAACCAGACATGGAAGAAATAGTTCAGCAACAACAACTTGAAGCAGAGGGGAAGTTACCAAAAGCGACACCAAAGAAGAAGAGAAGAGTAGAACAAAGTGAAATTAGATGAAGAAGTCTTTACAAAACATTGACAAGAAAGTTCATGACAAAGTCTTTACAAAACATTGACAAGAAAGTTCATGACAAAGTCTTTACAAAGAAGTCTCAACAAAGTCTTTACAAAACATAGACAAGAAAGTTCATGACAAAGTCTTTACAAAACATAGACAAGAAAGTTCATGACAAAGTCTTTACAAAACATTGACAAGAAAGTTCATGACAAAGTCTTTACAAAACATTGACAAGAAAGTTCATGACAAAGTCTTTACGATGAAGAACTTGACAAAACATAGACAAGAAAGTTCATGACAAAGTCTCAACAAAACATATACGAAGAAGAACTTGACAACTATTCTATATTTTTACCCATATGAAATGTACGCCGCTCAGAATATAACGCCAACAGTTTTGGATGCCATGAATGGAAATGTTTCCGAATGGTATAACGAATGCGACAATGCCATTAGAAGGTCAGAAATAGTTCCTGGAACTTACGAATATACAACTGCTGTTTCTTATGGAAACGTAGGTGAGTTTGGAGAAGGTTCTTCAACAACAGTAGATATTGCTTGCGACAGGTTTCATATAATTTCTATTGACAACTCTTTCTTATACGTGGAACAAGACATTGAAATAAAACCTTCTGCCAAGTTGTCTGACAAGAAAGGTTGCAATGGAATTTTCTATGTCGGATACCAATATGCTCCAGAAGTTTTCATGGGATATAAGATATATTCTAACTCTGATTTAGTTCAAACAGTAACATGGGCAAACTATGAATGGTTCGCTTTGAGAAACTCAGTACAACCACAAGCTAGAGAACAAACAGACCAGTACGCAACTATTGAGAAAATAAGAAGACTTGACCCTAACGTTCCAGGAGTTTATGTTGACCTTTCTGGACAAACTGCAGCAGCAGTAACCAAAGTAAAACTGAAACTTAGAGTTCCTTTGTCATCTTTCCTCATCTTCAGGTTTTTAAGATACTTGCCAAACTGGGCAGGAAAAATTTCTATCGAACTTACTCCAAGCAAAAATAACTTAGTCATTGCACCAACACAAGACCCATTCACTCTTACTGTAGCTGGAACTGGTGGAGCCAAGTTCTGTGACTTTTGCAAAGACAAAGTTGACTTAGACTTTGGTTTCTCAAACCTCAACACTGAAGTAAACTATTATTTCAATGCTGCTGGAGATGCTTGGGACCCAGTTAAGTTCACATGCGAAAAGTTTGAATGCAAGAGAATAGAAAGCAGACTTGCAGTCTATATGTTGGACCCAGATATTTCAAATGCTTTAGCTGCCAAATATATTGCAGTTCCACTTATGTTCCCTATACACCAAATATCTGTCAAAGACTTTGCAGGTGAAGTTGGAAACCAAAGTGCTGACCCAGGTGCAAGAACAGATATTGCCTTAACAACTGCAATGAAACATGCAGATACTATGTTTGTACTGTTCAGACGAACTATAAATGACTATTCTTGTTTCTACAACCCCGGTATTAAATATCATATAAACATAGATGGCAAATACTATCCAAGAGAAGAATATTCCACAGTTGAGGATATGAGGTCATACAACTTGACATTAGATGCTATGAACTTTAACAACAACTTCACAACAACCATTAACCCTGAAATGCAAAGTTCTATTATGCCATATGTGAAAGTATGGACTCATACAGGAGCTCAAAAAACTCAATATACAAATGGAGACCGTTCAAACTTTTGGCTTGGCATTCCATTTGCTGACTCAGAAGACTTTATGGGTGGTATTTCAACTGTTGGTACAGTTCAAATACAATATACTGGTGACAGAGACGGTCCAGATGAATTGAAAGCAAAGAAGTTTACAAAACCAATAGCACTTTTCACGGAAGATGCTCTTTTGAAGATTCGTTCGATGAAACCTGCTGGGGCTCCTCAGATTGGTATAACGACAGCTTCCATCGAGCAGATTTTGGCAGCAGGTCAGTAAGTTGTTCTTGAACTGACTTCTTCCGTCAAATATTGACAGTACGCCAGTTTTGATATAATATTGTATTAAAAACTTTCCTTTAGAAATATCGGTCAGTTTTGTTGTTATATTTTTGTCAACGTCAAGAACTTTCACCATTTCAGTTATACCAACTTTCTTTGCTTTATGAAAATATTTTGGTTCAGCAAAGACTGCTATTCTATAACATTTTCCATTGTTTGTGTAAAGAACTACTCTGTCAATGAACTTGTATTGTTTGTGTGTGTAAACTTTGTTTTGCTTCAATTCGAAGAGATACTCAAATACGTCCATCCTTTTATTCTAAGTAAAATGTCATTTCCGAAAAATAGAAGCGTAAGTGTTTCAAAAGGTTTAATGGCGATGGCAGATGTGAAGTTAAATTCACCAACTCAAACAAACAGTCAAAGTGTTGTTGTCAATGTCAAAGACAGAGATGTTGAAGTGGGGAAACCATACGAAGACGAAGATGGTATAACAATAGTTCCTGTAAAAGAACAACCAACATACCCTGAAGTTAGCAGAGACTTAAGTTCTGTTGCAGATATTCGAAACGACTACCAACAACTTAAAGACAAACTTAAAACTCAGGAGAAGATTTGTCAGGCTTTGGGTATAATGTTAAACTTGGTTGAGCACAACCCTGTAAAAGTGAACTCATATGTCATCGCACCTCATGAAATTTTGAAAGAACTATTGAAACTTTTGACAGAGGCAGACGATATAAACATCAAAGAAATAGAACCCGACATTGCTTGCTGTGGTGTTTCATATAATGTCATTGACAAGATATACGTTATGAAAGGAGGTGAAACGTTGAACTTAAAATATAGTTTCCCAGACGTCATAAAAATATTTGACGACCACAACATTTCATTAAAGTTTACTTGCTAAGTAAAAATGGCAAAACTTCTTGAAAGATGTTTGAAGAAAAACAATATAGACTTTATTTCATGTAAAGGACTTTACACACTTTTGAACGATATGAAAGACCCTGTTTTGTTTGTTCGTGTAGACAAAGGAAAGTTCTATGTCTTTACAAAATATTTGAACTTCTTAGACAGAGAACTTCAAGAAACGCCATGTGAAAGTTTAGATGAAGTTCTTCTCCACTTTCAGAAAAACTTTTAAATATATGTAAATGGCAGAAGACATAGTGGTTATACTATTACGATTAAAAACCTGAGTCATATAATTCTATAACAACAAACTTACAAAGTCCTCAAGGACGATATTGTAAACTAACCTTAAACACGATGACGACTAAAGCCTGTTTTGCTCTTTTGACACCAGAAGACTTTGTTGTTGTGAATGGTAAAAAATACTCCTTTGAAGATACTTACTCAGATATACCACCAACAGTTTTGTTGACTTATTTAATACTTTAAGGACGGATGTAACATGTGCTGCAACTAGAGCAGGTTTCATTATGTTTGGATGTCCGACTGAGTTTACTATAAACAATATGAGCTATAATACAAAACTTATATCTGGTTTTTACTACCAACAGTTTCCTATAACAGGAAAAGGTGTCATACAAGGAATGTCTGTTCCATTGACTTTAAGTACACCTATTTTATATATTGTTTCAAACTTAGGTTCAAAGTGCTATTCGAATGTCGACAGAAACTACTATGACCAAAAGATACTCATGCGTATAAACAACACTTTCTCTGCTGGTTTGCCTATTGTTCATTCGAATGCAGAGTTTTCAGCTTTAGTAAACTCAAACACTTTAGCAAACATAAACTTAACCTTAGTTGACGCAAACTTTGTTCCTGTAAAACTTTTATGTCCTATGTATTTGTCAATGACGGCAGAAAGTTTCGAATTGGATGATGCAACTGGTGAAAGTATTGTACTACAAGAACAACTTCAACAACAAATAGCTCAAGAACAACAAATGCAACAAATGGAACAAATGCAACAACAAATAGCTCAAGAATAAAAAAAATATTTTTTTTTATTTTTATAAAAAAATGTACAGAATAGACGTTTCAGATTTTTATGACTTCCAAGCCTTCAGAAATATGTGTCCATTTAGAGACTATAACAAAGCAGTCGAGAATTTGAAACGTTTAGTCATTTATGTCGACTCTGCCCAGAATGTTATGTCATGAAAGAATGGGATGTAGTCTTTAACAAACCTAAAGCGACAATAGTTTCAGAACAAGAATGTAAACAGAAACTTAAGAAAATAAAAGTCGTACAAGTTGGCATGAAGATGTTAGATGCTTGGGATATTTTATTGTCAAAACTTGAAGATTTTTCAGTTCGTGGTATAAAGTTTTATACACCTTCTCCAAACTTCTATTCTATCTTCACTGGATATAAATACGAACAAGTAGAATGGAAAGAAAATGTTATAGAAGCTTGGTTAGACCATGTCAAAGAAATTATATGCAATGGAAACGAAAGAGTATATGAGTATATCTTATGTTGGTTTGCAAACATCTTACAACATCCAAGTGCTAAGAATGAAACTGCTCTCATTATAATTGGAAAACAAGGAACAGGTAAGAACACGTTCTTTACAGATATCTTATGCAAACTGTTAGGGCTATTCGAACCCTAATATGACAAACTTAGAAAACATCTGCGGTAAATTTAACTCTTCAATAGAGAATATGAAACTTATAGTATGTAACGAACTTCAAAGTATAGATACAACAAAAGTTTTGAACTCAGATGCTTTGAAGAGTCTTATAACAGACAAAGTTGGAGTTGTTGAAAGAAAATATAAAGACCAAAGAGTTTGTGAAAATGTTGCAAATTTCGTCATGGTTTCAAACAATGCCGTTCCGATGAAGTTAGAAAGTTCTGACAGAAGATATGTAGTTGTCAGAACGTCAGAAGCTCATATGCAAGATACAGAATATTTTGACGACTTAGCAGAAACTTTGACACCTAACTTTTACAACCACTTGTTCTCATATTTCATGACATTAGATATTTCAAAGTTCAATCCAAGACAAATTCCACATACCGAAGAGAGACAAACATTGTTAGAAGCAAACAAGAGTGTATATGAACTGTTCATAGATGAGACTAACTTTGAGTGTTTAGATGAAAGGTCATTGTACGATTCGTATAAACAGTATTGTCAAGAATATGGTTATATGACAGCGTCTAAACGAACATTCTTGGCAAATGTCAAAAGTCTTTTAGACGTACAGAATGGTGTATATACAAAGAAAAATTTTTCTGAGTAAATTTTTAAAAAAAATATTTTTTTATCCGATAGAAAAGATGACGAAATTCATCTCAGTCAACAAGTACATGTCAGGACTTAAAGAAGAACTAGAACCATTCACATATTTGAATGTTTACTTCTACCATTTTGAAAAGTCTTCATTCAGCAAAGTTTGGAACATCGAACCAGTTAAGTTTGCTATTGTGACTAAAAATGGTGCGAAATTTGAAGACTTAGACATAGAAGGTTTGTTAACAGTCAAAGAAAGTTTTGACAGAAGGTTCTCAACCTTAAAGAAGGCAAAGCATACAAACTTGTTATACCTTATGAACCAAAGAAAGCAGACGACTATGAATATTATGAGTCTAAGATAGTTGAAGTTCAAGGTAAATTGGGTAAAAAGATTTAGAGTCTAAGCCAGTGTTTGCTCCTAAAGAGGAAGAGAACATTGACATTGACCCAGAAATTTCTAAAAATAAAATTTTATTTTTACATGTCAAATTTCTTTTTCTCTGGCTCTGGTTCTTTCTTCTCTTCTTCTACTTTCTTTTCTTTCTTTTCTCTCTTCTTCTTCTCTGGTGGAGTTATGTCAAACTTCTCAGAACCATATTTTTGTAAAAGTGCTTTGTCATTTAATAGCTCTTCTATTCTGTTTTCTATTTCATCTTCAAGAACAGCGCATGTGTCTTCTTTGCATTCTAAGAAGTTTTGTTGGACTTCATCTCTCCAAGAGGCGTCATCTCTGTCAACAAGTCTGTCATTGACAAATTTTAAGACTTCTCTGCTTAAGGTTTTATGGTTCTTGTCATATTCCCAGAAACAGAACTTTAGAACAAATTCCCCTTTCTTGTTTACACTATGTAAGATTTTATGGTCGACAGATGTTTTGCTGTCGAAAAGCTTGTCTCGAATATAGATAGCGAAATCGCTAGACATTTCCTAAAAGATAAAAATTTTAATTTTTCTAAAAATATGTTAGAAAAAAAGTTTGCTGACATTGACAAAAAATTTGAGAATGTTTTAAATAAGAACAAGAGGAAGTTGGAAAATGCTCAGATAAAACCCATACATGACAAGTTCTTATTTGCTCAGAATGGTATAACAGTCTAATTGCACCGCCTGGGTCGGGTAAGACTTTCACTTATCTTAAAATGGCTGCACAGCAACAAGAACTAGATGAGAAGAACCCATTCTATGAGTTAGTAGTCATTTGTAGTACTTCTGGTCAATTTGACCAAACCGTCAATTCGTTCAAAGATATTATAAAAAAGTCTAAGTTAGTATGTATAAAAGACTCTGAGTTGTTAGATTGGATAAAGAAGTACCAAAGAAGAGTTTTGAAGTACAATGCTATAAATGAGTATGTCAATTCGAGGTTTAAAGACCCAAATGAGGAAATGCAGAGAATATTAGAGAAGAAACACTTCAGAAACAAACAGAAAGAGATAGAATACATTTCGAAGAAATTGCAATCTTACGATTGGAAGACTTACCCTCACAGATGTCTTCTTATCTTAGATGACTTTGCTTCTCATCCTTTGTTAAAGAACAGAGAACAAGACATGTGTCGAATTCTTAAGAAGCTCAGACACTTTAACATCTCAGTTGTCATTTGTGTACAGACAGCAAAGAGTTTAAGTAAGGATGTAAAGAGAATACTTACTGACATTGTACTTTTCCCCGGATTGTCCGAAGACGATTTCATGGAACTTATGAAAGAGTCCATGGCAGGTAAGTTTGACAGACATGAACTATGGGAGAAGTACAAAGTCATACAAGACCCTCATAC